ACAGCTGTCCAAACCTCAGCTCCTGGGCTTGTCAGCCCTAGGGCAGGACTGGCACCTCTGTTGGGATTTGTGCTGGGCCACCTGGGTGGATGCAAATGCCGAGACATGGTTTAACCATTATTAACTTATGTTTAAACTGTTTTCCTAGGCACTGGGCACGTTAAGGCTACAAAGAACAAGACATAGTCCCCATCTTACAAAGGAGCTGTGTGAGACATGTATGTACAAAGGGGCAAAAGGAAGGAAGTGCTTACTCGTGAACTGAAAATGGAAGTTGTCGGTCTGACTGATCACTGGGAGAGTCCCCCAAGGCTGATGAGCAGAACAGCTACAATAGACGCCACTGTAGTTCAATTCAAGACACTCCTGCTGGAGTCAGGAGACAGGGAAGTAGCTGAAGGGAGAGGGCCTAGTACATAGAGAAGCTTGATAAGGTCCCCTAGAAGGTGCATGCATGTGTGTAATCAGGGATGGAAGGACTGTCAGAATAGTCTTTATATGGAGGTAACAAGTTGTTCTCGGAGATTGTGTAGGATCTGCCATGGGAAAAAGAGGATATTCCTGGCAGAAAGAACAGCATGCACACCGAGGCCCAATAAACAGAATGGGCGAGTGTAAGGCCTATCTTTTGCTCTGGGTTGAGCACGGAGTTCAAGGAGGGGTGAACGAGGGAAGTAACTGTGTAAAGGTAACAAGGGCTAGATAGAGGCTTTATAGGCCTTATAAAGGAGTTTAAGCCTTAAGGGTAAGAGGCAACATGCTCAGATTTATTTTCTAAAGGATCTCTCTGGGAGTTATGGTGTGGGGGATGGATTAGTTGGAAATGAGGCTGGATAGAAAACTAGTAAGAAGAAAGTTGTGACCATTGGCCTGATGGGGGCACTGGGAGGACAGAAGCAATAGAGGAAGGCTCACCAGGCCTTGATGGATGAACAGAGGAGAGGAGAGTCAGTGAGGGGGGATCAAGGTGTACCACCAGGCTGTGGCTCCAAAAACTGGGAGGATGACACATTCATAATTCCAGCTCTGTTGCTTGTTGACTGCGTTACTGTTACTGAGTAGCTGTGAGCCTGTTTCCTCACCTGTAAAAGGATGATGAGCCTCAACATTATTGTGAGGGCTTAAGTATAAAGTTGCTCCTCAGTGTCTGGCACATTGATGAGTTCTACATGAGTGTGTTATACAAATAGATAAATCACAGAGAGATGTCTTTGGGAAAAAGCATAGCATCTTTTCTGGACATGTGTACTGAGTACCAGGAATCTATGGGACATTGCCATTAGGCAGTTAAAAAACAGATGTGGAACTTTGGAGTGAGGTCTGGACAGATTTTATGGGTGGGAGTGGCTTCCAGAGGAATGGGTAAAATTGCTTAGAAGTTCTGTGCAAATAAGAAGAGGATCAAGGACGGTAACAAGAGGCAACAGCTCATGGAAGGCTGAGGCAGAGACTTTCGAGAAGCAGACTAAGGGGCTGTCTGAAAAGAGCAAGTGCTAGGACCAAGAGGTATCCCAGAAACCAGGGGAAGCCATAGGTGATGCATTAGAGGTCAAGGGAGACAGAACCTCTGCATTATAAATGGAAGCTCACCTTTCAAGAAGAGAAGTATAAGAAAGTAAAGAGAAGGGAAGAAAAGAACCTGAAGGCACAAAAATAGAACAGATTCAGGAGGAAGTCATAAATAACATGCTTATTAGGTGGAGCCAAAGACCCCCTGTGGCTGCCCACAAGTGCTTCAGAGCTCCTGCGCCTTGGGCAAGCCTGGCTGGTTTTGTTCACACCTGCCAGGTGGCCCTGATTAGTCCAGAAGCTAACTTCCATTACCAGAAAGCTCTGGGACTCTGAGGGATATAAAGGCATATACAACTGCTTTTCTGTTGATGTGTGGAGCTAAAATAAGTAAACATAAGAGATCAGTCCCATCCATTTAATCTCCAAGCACTGCTTTCAAATCTACCTCATCTACAGTGCTGCCTCTCCATTCCAACCATTATCCTCACTTGCTGGGACTGTCTACAGCAGCTGCTTTCTAAATCATCACTGTATCCATTCTCAACACCCCACAAACCCAATGATTCTCCTTCCTTACTCTGGTTTCTTTGAAGTATGTATCTCCTAGCTCCCCACCAGCCCACAGTATTGGAATTCTAGTGTAGTTCTTGGGGCTAGACTGCTGGGTTCAAACCCCACCTCCAGCACTCACTGGCTGTGTTGGGACCTTGGGCAAGCAATGTTCCTTAACCTTTCTTTGTGGACTTATTTCAACTGTTAACTGGAGATAACTAACTTAAAGGATTTATGAGGATGAAATGAGTTTATAGCTTTTAGTATGGTGCTTGACCTAAGTGCTCAATAAACATGAGCTATTATCAAAGTTTTCAGGATAAAAATTCAAATCCTTATGGCCTAAACCCCCTCCTTGATCTGGCTCTGCCCAACTTCCTAACCTTCATTCTGCACTGCTTCAGCACCACCTGCATCGTTTGCTGTTACTACGGGGGCAGCAAGCTGACCCAGTGCTGGAGAGCAGCTGGTAGGATTTTGCAGTCTGAACTAGAGGTGATAGAACAAAGTGGGTAGAAGCAAAGATGTGAGATCATGGAAATATCAGATCAGTTCCTTTCTACCATTCCCACATCTTTCCAGCTCCCTATCAGTCCCTCTCTCATGGTTCAGGGCTCAGTATGTAAGGATAGAACTGAAAGTTACTACAATAGCTTTTAGCTCTAGTGGAGTCCTAATATGCAATGTGGGTTGACCATCACTGCTAGAACTTAATTTATTGCTACCTTCACTACCATCTCCACCAGATTCCACTGAGTAATTTCTTGGAGTTGGTTTTGTCCTGGGAGCCCTTCATGCTGGCCCCTCAGGGAAGCAGGACTTTCCAGTCACAGTAGTCCTGAGGGAATTCAAGAGCAAAGGCAGCAAGACTGGGACAGGGTCCACAGTGCGATCAGGGTGAATATCTGGGAAGATCAAGTCACTGTACCATGACAGCTAATGACCACAAAGTTTTCTGACAGGGCAGGCTTCTTGCAGACAGGGCCTCCCTTGTCTTCTATTTTTATCCCATACCCTCTGATTTAGCAGAGCTTGGTGGTTTCTAGGTCTATTGATCTGGTTAAAAGTGTTTGTGAAAAAATGAAAGGCTATCAGAGGAACTCATACGTGTTGACTGAGTAACTGCTTCCAAAGGATGTACTGAGCACATGGCAGAAGGAAAAAAAAGCCAAGGCTGTGGAACCTGTGATGCCAAGAGCTGGGAAGAGCACACAAGAAATCAATGCCCACAGCAGGACCCAATAGCTACGTCCTTTCAGTTGTGCTTTTAACTATCCCAATGCCTTAAGGGCACAGGATGAGACACAGCTAAGGGAGATAGTAAATCAAAAGGACGGCCTGGCCCAACTGTAACTCTAGGGCCAGGGGCCAGGGCAAGAGCTACTGACGGACTGAAGGTAAGGCTATCAACAGCCCACACACTGCCTACACAGATGTACCTATACACTGCCTCCTAATGTGGCAGGGCAGCTGTACCACAGGCCCAACACCATTCTTCCCCAACCTCAGCTATTCTGCAACCAAGGGGAAGAGCCAAGCCTCTTCCTCACAGAATTTAGGGCTCTTCTCAGTTCAGATACCAAAGTGCCTCAAGGATACAATGTGAGAAACTCATCTTTTGATAGTTGAAATTTTTCCCCAACTACAATAAAAGATTATGTGAACAGATGGTGATGCAGCCACAGACTGTTAGGATTCTTTAGCCTCAAAAAACTGACTTTAAATTCCTTCCGAGATATACTGCTAGAGACAGAAATGAATACAAATGAAATTGTTTATAAATTTAAGCAAAAACAATCCCCATCTCACCCCCACAGCAAAACTCAGACCATTTTCAGAACCTCTTACCACTCGAGTTCTCGAGGACAGACTCAAAAGGAGTGTAGTTTACTCACTTAACTCCCTCAATTTGGCCAGAGTCCAAAAAGGGATTTCCTCCTTGTAGAATCTTAGGACTTTGCAAAAAGTTTTAACAAGTGGTTCTCACCCGCTTGTGCATAACCACCCCAACTTGGAAACTTGTTGCCCAGGCCCCAGTTTGCAAATAATTCACTAAGAACCCAGAAATCATTGCAGTAGTTTGAGCCACACTGGAGTCCTCACATGCCATGGGGACTTAAGAATCACTGCTGAGCTCAATGTATTGCTCCTTTCAAAATCTTCACTACAGTCACTGCCAGATGCACCCTGCACCTTGTTTCTGGTATCATTTATGGCAAAATAGACCATGTTTCACATTCCCAACCTTTATTTCAAAATTCAAGTGTCCTACTATGTGGTCCACTGCACAAAGCTCAATGTCTTACTTCCAGTCTGAGCCCCAAATTTCAGAACCCATATTCCAGCTCCTTTAACTACACAATCACCAACCCCCTTAGCAAAACAAGGGGTCAACCTTGGGGAGATTTTCTTTGTGATTTGAACTTAATTGCTGAATTTGCTCTCAATTAACTGACACTCTACTATAAACCATACAAAGTCCTGTAAAGCTGTGGCTGGAGGCTGAAGCTGCTAACTGTAAAATTAGGCACCACTGCCCTCTCAGGGCAGATTCCCAGCTCAAATACCTGCTGTTGACCACCCCCACCTTTCCTGTTTTGGTGTTCAGGAGACAATCCACACAAACATCCAGCAATAGAGGAAAACTAGAACGTACTGCCAGTCTTAACTTCTTAACTTTGGCATGAATGACCCAGAAAAAGGGCTTTTTTCTTCACCTAAACCAGAGCAAACTATTAACCTCAAGGCTATTTTGAGATTCACTTCATAAACGACAGACTTAGTTTTCTTACCACAGAAACAGCCATACTGGCTTAAAAACTAAGGCACAATCCAACTATAGGATGGCTCTTCCTTTTTCTCACCTTTCAAAATTCTCTTAGCCAAGTCTACCACATTCTTTTGAAGCACCACAGAAACAAATTTTATTAAGGTGATTAACTCAAAACTTGAATAGTATCTTCTTTATTTACAAGTCAGAATCAACAATGACAATCCAGGGGACCAAATGGGGAGATGACTGAAACCCCCCGAGACCCCAAATGGAGAAGGAAAAGGGAAAACAGAGTAGAAAAAAAAGTCAACGTAAAAAAAGAGCTCCCCCTTCTTCCCTCCCCATAAAGGCTGAGGGGACCATAGCCCCACACTACTCAGCCGTATCTAGCTTAAAATAAATTAGAACAACCAACCTCAAACAAGGCCTTTACAACAAGTGAACAGGGCAGCTATGGCCTCAGGCAACCCTTTATCATTAAGGCCTTTCCCCACTCCCGCTACCCCTGCCCCACCCATCATTTTGAATGGCGGCTCTACACCCAAGAGATCACTCTTCAGTGGGACTAGGAACAACCTTCTGTCCATTTATGCCTCTCCTTCAGTGAATGTCCCTGCATCCCTCCCCGCTGCAGAGCCAGCTCTCCTACAGTGGGGGGAGGGGGGTTAGATGACGGAAGTGTCACAGCAGGGGAGGGGATGGGTGGTGGGGCAGGGTGATTTAGGGGTCCGGTCCTGCGGAGCCTCCTGCCCCATCTGGCCCGGTCCCTTAGCCTGAGTCTGAATCACTGGTGTCTGAAGAGGAGGAGGATGAAGAGGAGGAGCTGGAATCTGAGCTGGAGCTGGAAGCACTGAGGCGAGACACTGCCACTTGCTGTGCTGACGAGGACTCTGTTTTCTCACTTGCTGCAGAACAAAAGTGAAGGAAGGGTCAAGATATAAAAGTCTTACCTCCAGTAGTCAAGAAAGGTGGTGGGATGTGGTAAATTTGCAATGTCTTATTTAGGATACTCACCTTTCTTTGGGGGCTTTTTGGTAGAATTGAGCTGCCCACTAACATCTTGTAACCGCTTTTCTAGTTCCCGCTTCTTCTCTAAAGCCAGTTCCTCCTTTGTCTTTCCCACAGGTTTCTTAATGGCTAAAAAAAATGAAATGTATCAAGACTAAGACTGCTGTAAGCACATTCATTTTATTGCCCCCCAGTGTCACCAAGTTCCTTCTTGAGCACCAGGACTAATGCATCACACCATCCCGGGAGCTGACAATCCCAAGTCCATCAAGCACACCCTTAATATTGTTTCCTAAATCATCCTAAAAACATGAGGATTGCTTTATTAACAACTAGTAGACCTCATTTAATACTTACTGTAGGGCTTCCGAGGTTTCTTTCGGAGGCAGGAAAGGACGTAACGCTCAAGCTCTCTAAGTGTGGATGGCTTGAGTGTTTCAAAATCAATCTCAATCTCCTCTGGGTTTGAGTCACGTAGAGAGGGCTCCCTGGCTTGGATTATGTGTACAACTCGACCCAGTTTCTCTCCAGGCAATTTGTTGATGTCTAGGCTCAACTGCCGCTTCTCATCATAACTCATGGGCCTGCTTTCCTCCTCCTCCTCAGAATCATAGCCTGTTGGCAAGGCTGGTGCGGCTGTCTTTGTGGCCTTTTTGGGCAGTCTGAGGGCAAAAGAGAATTGTCAATTGAAGAAGCATCATTCATCTGTCCACACACATTCTCCCTGTTCCATCTGGTAATTTGGATTTCCTACTTGGAGTGGTGCTTTTCATTAAAGCAAATGGGTTTTGTCAGAAATGGGCTACTAGGATATACCAGGCAAGCAGAGCTTCTTACATGCCAAGCATTTCAGTTTACTTTCGGTTTTGAGAACCAGATACAGGTATATTGGCATGGGTCAATCTTTTTGCTTACCCATCACACTATGGGAAACAAAAGAATAGTACTGGTTCATTGCCTTAGAGAAAAGGTAAGCAAGCAATGGCCCGGGGGACAAATATGGCCTATCACTTGGTTTTGTAAATAGTTTTACTGGAACACAGCCACATTCACGTTTACACACTGCCTATGGCTGCTGATGTACCATCAGTTGGTAGCTATTAGAACAACCAACCTCAAACAAGGCCTTTACAACAAGTGAACAGGGCAGCTATGGCCTCAGGCAACCCTTTATCATTAAGGCCTTTCCCCACTCCCGCTACCCCTGCCCCACCCATCATTTTGAATGGCGGCTCTACACCCAAGAGATCACTCTTCAGTGGGACTAGGAACAACCTTCTGTCCATTTATGCCTCTCCTTCAGTGAATGTCCCTGCATCCCTCCCCGCTGCAGAGCCAGCTCTCCTACAGTGGGGGGAGGGGGGTTAGATGACGGAAGTGTCACAGCAGGGGAGGGGATGGGTGGTGGGGCAGGGTGATTTAGGGGTCCGGTCCTGCGGAGCCTCCTGCCCCATCTGGCCCGGTCCCTTAGCCTGAGTCTGAATCACTGGTGTCTGAAGAGGAGGAGGATGAAGAGGAGGAGCTGGAATCTGAGCTGGAGCTGGAAGCACTGAGGCGAGACACTGCCACTTGCTGTGCTGACGAGGACTCTGTTTTCTCACTTGCTGCAGAACAAAAGTGAAGGAAGGGTCAAGATATAAAAGTCTTACCTCCAGTAGTCAAGAAAGGTGGTGGGATGTGGTAAATTTGCAATGTCTTATTTAGGATACTCACCTTTCTTTGGGGGCTTTTTGGTAGAATTGAGCTGCCCACTAACATCTTGTAACCGCTTTTCTAGTTCCCGCTTCTTCTCTAAAGCCAGTTCCTCCTTTGTCTTTCCCACAGGTTTCTTAATGGCTAAAAAAAATGAAATGTATCAAGACTAAGACTGCTGTAAGCAAATTCATTTTATTGCCCCCCAGTGTCACCAAGTTCCTTCTTGAGCACCAGGACTAATGCATCACACCATCCCGGGAGCTGACAATCCCAAGTCCATCAAGCACACCCTTAATATTGTTTCCTAAATCATCCTAAAAACATGAGGATTGCTTTATTAACAACTAGTAGACCTCATTTAATACTTACTGTAGGGCTTCCGAGGTTTCTTTCGGAGGCAGGAAAGGACGTAACGCTCAAGCTCTCTAAGTGTGGATGGCTTGAGTGTTTCAAAATCAATCTCAATCTCCTCTGGGTTTGAGTCACGTAGAGAGGGCTCCCTGGCTTGGATTATGTGTACAACTCGACCCAGTTTCTCTCCAGGCAATTTGTTGATGTCTAGGCTCAACTGCCGCTTCTCATCATAACTCATGGGCCTGCTTTCCTCCTCCTCCTCAGAATCATAGCCTGTTGGCAAGGCTGGTGCGGCTGTCTTTGTGGCCTTTTTGGGCAGTCTGAGGGCAAAAGAGAATTGTCAATTGAAGAAGCATCATTCATCTGTCCACACACATTCTCCCTGTTCCATCTGGTAATTTGGATTTCCTACTTGGAGTGGTGCTTTTCATTAAAGCAAATGGGTTTTGTCAGAAATGGGCTACTAGGATATACCAGGCAAGCAGAGCTTCTTACATGCCAAGCATTTCAGTTTACTTTCGGTTTTGAGAACCAGATACAGGTATATTGGCATGGGTCAATCTTTTTGCTTACCCATCACACTATGGGAAACAAAAGAATAGTACTGGTTCATTGCCTTAGAGAAAAGGTAAGCAAGCAATGGCCCAGGGGACAAATATGGCCTATCACTTGGTTTTGTAAATAGTTTTACTGGAACACAGCCACATTCACGTTTACACACTGCCTATGGCTGCTGATGTACCATCAGTTGGTAGCTTGAGACCCAATGGTCCTCCAGTTTCCCCACCTGGCCATTACAGAACTTGCTTGCTGGCCCATGGGTTAGGTAAAACTCTGCCAACCAAGTAGGAAAAAATACCCTCTCCTGAAGAGTTCATAAAAATCGCCAAGCTTGTCTCTGCTTCCTACCCTGTTAGAACTCACTTGGCGCCACTTCCTCCAGGAGGTCCAAATCCAGGGGGCCCTAGTGTAGCAGTACTGCCACCCCCACTGCCATTTGCTTTCTTGGACTTTTTTGGCTGAGATGGACGGGGTGCCCGAGGCCCCTTGTCATCTTCATCGACCCCAGATCGACCTCGGTGCTTCTCTGCCTTTCGTTTCTTCTTTTTCTCTTTTTTTTCTCTCTTTCGCTTGGGTTTGGATATTGGGCCTTGGGACAGGGCAGCCAGTTGTTCATGTACTGCCCGAAGCTAGAGAAGAAATGAATCAGATATGATATGGAAAAAACAACAGAAGAGTCAGGGCAGACAGGGTACGAATGCCTTACCCAGTGAACTGAGCAGTGACAGAATACCTGTTCCTGCAGTTCAGCCAAGCGATGAGCTCTTTCTTCCTCAGAGTCAGAGCTTTCACTCTCTTCCTCCTCTTCATCCTCCTCCTCTTCCTCCTCTTCCTCAGAAGAACTCTCACTGCTACTTTCCTCACTGGAGGACTCTGACGATGATTTGGCCATGCCAGGGGGCAAGGCAGTAGAGACTGGTAAAGGACCTGGCTCCAGTGGTTCATCTGGCATCTTGGCATAACGGAACTCAAATACATCCTAGATAAGAAAGGCAGACTCAAAGCCATGCTGGTAGACTGCACCCCAACTACACCCAGCCACCTGTTGGTGTAGTTCCAATTTATAACTGTATAACTGTATGGACTGGGAGATTATCACATTAAAGTTTGTGCATTCTCTCCCCACATCAGTTCATTCTTCAAACTCCAACCCTGAAACTCACCTGTAGCTTTCGTGCCATGGCCACAACATCGTGGTCCGGGGGATTGTACTTATAGCAGTTGGAGAACATAAGCCGCACATCAGCAGCAAACTCCTGTGCATCCCGGTAATCACGATTCTCCATCTTCCGCTGCAGAAGGAGGCAGCATCAGAAGCTGCACAGGCAGGGAGACTCACCTTTCCTGCCAGCCCCAGAAACTGCAAGAGTAGCTCTCTCTTGAGAGCACAGTGAGGATGACCTTAAGGATCTATGCTCTGGGGTTCAAGTTTGAAGTCAAAGGAATTTGGGTGGGTTGAAGAAATATCTATGTCTAGAAAAAAAAATCATTTCTAAGTGATGGGGAGGGTGGGTGACTTCTATCCTTCCATAACCCCTTTAACTTCTCTAACCCAACACTCCCAATAACTAGAAGTTAAATGTAGATGAACAGTTTTGTGTCTTAAGACAAAACCCACCAGTTTCGAACTCCAGGAAATATGGACTCTTATTATACTCTACCCTTTGCCCCATTACTGTTTCTTAAAAGTAAAATACCAAGAATCAAAGATTGCAGTATGCCCATAAGAAGTGACTGTTTTATTGATCCCCAGTGCTCCAATCACTGCCTGAGCGTCCCATCTGCCCCATGCAGTGGGTACCTTGACAGTGCTGAGGTCCATGGGGTGCTTAATGATGTCATGGTAGTCATGCAGACCAAGAGCAGAAGCATCCACTGGTTTATAGAAAGGCCAGGCATAGGCAGCATGCTTCTTAGAGAGTAACTCCTTCAAAATGCCATTGCAATGTTTTAACTGTTCTGATAGCTTTCCTTTCTTGGAGCTCTGGTGCTGCTGCTGAGAGTCAGGCAAGTCTTTGCGTGGGGGTTTGATGGGGCGGCCACTTTCTCTACGCATAGGGGGAAGCCGTGCTGCCTTAGGCTCAAGACCCCCAGGAGGACTAGCTGGAGAACCAGGTGCCAGGATAGCTGTAGGTGTAGGGGTTGTAGTATCTGCTTTCCGCTTCACTCCTTTTTTCTGAAGAAACAAGATGGAGCTTTTACCACAAGTTCACTTCATTCAAGACCTTTCCCTCCCCAATGCCCAAAAGAAAAACACAGATCTGTACCTTGGCAAGGGGCTGGGCTGGGGGAGCTGCAGAAACAGCAAGGAGTGGGGGTCCAGCAGAGTGCAAGGACTTGAGAAGGGGAGAAGAGATGACCGATGGGTGGGGAATGTTTAGGACAGTCGTAGGTATCTCAGGTGGTGGAGTATACAAGTGAGAGACAGAAGAAACAGCAGGCACCTGGTGGGCAGTGGTGATACTGCCCTGGAGTGCTAGAAAAAGAAAAAAAGAAAAAAATTAGTTTGATAGATCTTTCCCACATTTTGGTCTCCCATCAGCACAACTCCCACTCTTCCTACCTGCCAATTTGGCCCCCTTCTTGTGGCTGTTCTTAGGGATGGTCACGACAAGCTCTTGTTCCTCTTGTGGCATTGATGCCACTTTCTGTAGGAAGATTTTTTCCAGTGTTTGTGCCATCAGGACAATATCATCAGTGGGCTATAGCAAACAGAAAAGTTCAAAATGCCAGCAGAAGACAAACCATTTATTTTTCTGAGAACCCCTAGCCCTAGGCATCGTCACTACCACCCCCTTAGACAACTTTGTGGTTAAGTTCCTGCACTGGGTCACTTAATTCCCACTTTCTCTCCCTCAAAATACAACAAAAATTTCAGAATATTGAGAGCTGATCAAGAAAATAGATCACCCTCTATTCAGGTCTCTGGAAATTTCTGAGGAAAAGGACCCCCACCCACAATGAAGTCTTCTACTTAAATTAAGCTTTAACACTGGATCTCTTACGCCACATCACTGTATTCAGTGGTACCCTTTGGAGCTCAGGTTTTCTAGATCTTGACTAGTCTTGAGAACACCTTTACAAGTAAAATACAAACTTCATGTGGACAGGACATGCAGCAACAATAGAAGCACTGTCTTTCCCCATCTACTAGTAAATTCACACAAAAAACTCACCTTATTGTAGATGTAACAATTGGTAAACATGGTATTAAAATCCTGCATACACTCTGAGGCAGCCCAGTAATAGTTGTTTTCAAGTCTTCTCTTAATAGTACCCATATCCATAGGCTGTTTTATAATTTTGTGGTAATCCTAAAAACAGAAACACTAGGTCAGAACTACTGAAAAATGTCTCTTCTACAGAAAACTACTGACCCCCACATATACACACACACCCACACACACCCTCTAAGTGAACTGAACTGCGGCCCCAATTCAAAACAAAAAACAAAAAAATGGAATAGGATTCTTAACACCCACTGGGAGGTCCTACTGCCTTTCTCTAAACCACCCACCTCCCGCCCACTCTGGAAGGTTTCCCATCCTGTGACATTACCTCTGGGGCTGGCTATCCATGGGCTGCATGTGGGAAAGGAAGAAGCTAAGAATTTTGGCCACCGTGGTCCTCTCCCAACCTGGGGTGGGAATCTGTAAAATGGAGCCAGGGCACAAAAGTTAAGGACACATGGAGGGTGCAATGAGATGCCAAGATAGCAAGCGGTCAGATCAATCATAAAGGACCAAGAATCCAGAAATCTGGTGGCTATCTGCCCTTCAAGAGAGATGGGAATTCTAGGGGCCGCAGCACCTATACTAGGCAGCCTACTTCTCCACTCACACATCCTCGCTCATTCCCATCCATGCCTTCCCCACTCCAATCTCTCTACTCACCGGCAGACCCAGTTTGACCGCATCCACAGGCTGCCGGAAGGGCCATGCAAACTGATGTTTCCACAGCGCCTTCATCACCACCTTGTGCAGATATTGCAGCTGGTTGGTAACTCGTCCTGGCTTTTTGGGATTAGACACCTCGGGGGGGGGTGGGTTGGCAGGGGTCAGTTGTAAAGCTGGCACTGAAGCCATTGTGGGGCTCTCAAATCCCTCATACAACAGGGAGGGTTTTCGAATCCTTTTTCCAGGTGCTGCTGCCTCTGGGCCCAGCCCCAGTAACCCTGCATTCCCCTCCCCAGGAAGCCTGTGGAGATGGAAAATAAAATTAGATGTGGTAAGCTTACAGAAATCAGGAATGCAACTTATACTACATACCCAATAAATTCAGGCCTAGAACCTGATAAAAGGCAGTCAACTTATTAAGTAATCTTAATTACAACCAGTATCCAGACAATCTGTGAAGCTTTTGCTCTTGTCCCCCCCAACTTTCCTCGGTTTTACTTTCAATATACACCCGTCTAGGTCCCACCTTTTGCAATCTGATACACTTACTACTTAATGGTTGCATATAAGACATAACATCTCAGAAACATAGGCTTAAGGGAATGGGACTCAAGCAAAATGGGTGGAAGTAAGAAACTCAGCCCCAATCTTCCTCACTAGGGGCTTTCATGGTTGCCATGGTGGTTGAGCCTGAGGGAAGGTAGCTACTGAAAAAAAGAGGAAGGGAACAAAATTGGGAGAATACTTCATAAAATGCTTGAGACACCTAATAATTCATCTGGGCAAAAGAGACCAGTATCCTCCATAAGCTCTGCATAAGTTCAGTTAGAAAATACACCAGAAATCTAATGGAAAACCGTACCGACTTGAAAAAAAAAAATCACACAAGGGGGCATTTGTTAGACTTCGCAGCCTGGAATAACAGCTGCCAGCCCCCCAAAATCATTCGCAAATTCAGTCTCCTTCCTTACAAGGGACAGCAGTCACAACAGTCAAGGTCACCAAATTCCTTCAAGAATGAGATACCACCTTCCCCATCCCCCTAGCCGAAAAGACGTGTGATTTCACTAACAGCTCCCACTGCAGCTCAAAGGCCAGCAGTGGTTCAAGTTTACATTCTCTCTGGTGCTCCTCAGTACCAGGTGTTTCTCAGACCCTAAAACTGAAGACACTACACCTCACCTTAATGTTTACACCCGCAGCGCCGGATTAGGGGATCCTCAGCTCCACCCTCCTGCCCTGCAAGAAACTATCAAAAATACCCCCTCACACAACAAAACCTCTTTAATCCAACACAAAACCGACCCAGTCACTGAAAGACGAACAGGTTTAATGACCTACTAGACACTGGGAAGATAATCCCCCTGGCCCTACTCTGGAAATCCCCGTTGCCAGTCCTTGAAGGTCTATCACCATGGCAACTCTGTAAGGCACTAAATGTGGCCACGAAACCCCCCAAAAGGCCAGGGACAAACGGCCACTGGACACCAAACCCACTACCCCCAAGACCTGCTGCCTCATCACATCCCACCGCCAACGGTAAGAGCGGATCGCAACGAAGTGCAACATACAAACGGGCAACCTGTACTCCCTCCACACGCAGCATCGGGGCCACTACCACCGTTCCAAAACCGTCACTCCACCCCTCCGTGAACCCCGAGCGCGAACAGTCGCGCAACGAAATGGCAATGTGCCCCAGTCATTCCCGTACTCCTCCGAACCCGACGTCCCATACGCCCGGTGCCGCAGTCCCCCAACGCCCCCTTCCCACATGCGCCTCGCGAGGACATACTTATGGGGAGTCACGTTTTGCAGCATCTTGACCGCGGGGAACCGGCGCTGCCCTCAGCCGCGGAAAGCCCAGGTGGCTTCGGTTCCCCTTACCGTCCGGTCCAGCATAACACGGTAAAGGGGGGCGGGGTGGGCTGCAGCCCTTGGCCCTCGAGGCGACAACCCCCGTGCTGGGCCGGCACGAAAAGTCTTCTCCAGTGCTTCTCGAAAAGCTCTCGGGAGCTTGGCGCGCTCCGGGAGGACAGCAAGAAAATGGCGGCGGCCTCAGTTGAGGCGGTTGAGCGCGGGGGGACGGACTCTTCAAACCGTAAGACGGCTCCAGATCTCAAACAGAATCGTCAATGTTGCCCTCTGTTGATCCGCAAGGATCCCCTTTTCCTGCTGGGACCGTCCGGATAGGACAAGGTCCCGTTTCGATCTCGGATGGAGGCGGATGAACACAAAAAGTGGTTTAAGGAGCCGCTGCCACCATCTTTGAAATCCTCTCGAGGGCGGAGTACAGGGGGTGGACAGACTCCGAGGATTGGGCGGGGCCCGAAAAAGGGAAGCTTCGGGGGCTTCTATGTGGTCTGTACTGTCCGCCGGGACCGATCATAGGCCGAGACGCAGGCCATATCCAAACGGATGGACGTGGATTGCAATGGCGGCCGCTGGCGACTCGAAGGCTCTCTACCAGCAGGCAGAATTCTCCAGCCGTTCTGGACGTTGCTCTGCTCCAGCGCGAAATGGCGCCGCCGAGAATCGCGCCAGCCCTTTATATATAGGCAGGAGGGAGGAGCCTCGCCGCTCACGCGCGCCACCGTGCTCGAGATTTCCCCCACCCCCTCCGCTCGCTCACGCGCGTGAAGCAGCAGTCGAAGGGGGAGGAACACCTCTCCGCGGGAGCGTTTCCTATTGGTCGGCAGAAACGATGACGTCATAAACCTCATTTCCAAGGCGTCGGTCACCAGGCAGAAGACTGCCGCAGAGACCCATAGGGAAGCGGCCACCAGCCACATCTCTTGAGCCAATTGGCTGCGCCGTGGTACGGTGACTCCAGGGGAAGAGGGAGGTTGGCAGGGGCGCAACACTCTCTCCCCGCCTCCTCTTCTAACAAAGTCTTCCCAAGCGTCCAAGCCCGGTGCGACTGGCGACTGCCA